CCGTCGATGGAGAGACCTAAAAGACTGAACCTCAGTGACGCATAACAGAGATGTGTGGAGAGAGGGGAGGGAGGCCTTTGTCCAGCAATGGGACAGTATAGGCTTTAAAAAAATAAACTACATCACATACCTTGCTCTGATCCCAAAGTAAGTAACTAAAGCATTTGCGTTATGGAAATCGAAAACAACAACGTTCCCACAAACACCCAGACCCGAGACAATACAGAAAAGTTAGTTTCTGGATTGACCTTGCCAGGGATCGAACTCAGGACCTCAAAGATGGTGACATCATGAAAAGCGGTGTGCAAGCCACACGACCACGGAGTCGTCTATGAGAGCTGAATAGAGACAGAGTTTTTGTAGCAGTAGAGCTCCATGTGAAAGAGTTCGTCCAGGGAAGTACTGCCACCTTTCTGCCGCCAAGCAGCAATGACTGCAGCGTGTAATTACAGGCACATGAGACTTGTCAACTTATGTCTCAGAGTGACGGGCCCCTCAGATTTTTGCGAATTAAAGCGCTGAGTTGTACAACAACTGTTATGGGCAGGCGTGTAGCGTACCATCAGGCGCACAAGTTCTCCGTCCCGTCACTTGATATTAAAAAACAAAATTTCGTGTAGCATCTAGAATGCTAAGCATAACCTCCACAGTGGTTTTCCTGGCCCAATGGAATAGCACTCGGCCACAGTTAATTAGTGGAACTTAATGACTCACCTCACCTGCTGCCGTCGAAATGCGGGATTATTTCACGAATTTATATTGCAATGTTTTCATTATGATCCCTTATGCGAGGTGGTAGATGTAAGAGTATAGTTTGTTCGTGTCATTTATTCCTATTTGAAAAGTTTTGCTTTGCTTATATATAGGGTATTCCCTGTAGCACAGCAACGATGAGTTCTTTAATTACATCGAGTATATAACCAAAAATAGAGACGAAATAAGGGCCATACATTCCTGATCAGTTATACATCACTTATAATTTCAACTCTCGTTTGCACTGAAATATAGACAGCGCCAACAACTGACCTGTGTGTACGTCTCCGTATATTCCAAAAATCTCTAACAATGCTGTTCTATTCGGTGGTGTGGGGAAAAACAGCAAAACATCTAATTGCAAACTTAAATTTCATCGGTAATTAAATATTAAATATGTAATTTTGCAATTTTCTTCCATTAAACAAAGCTCAAGTTAACTGGTCGTTTTCAAGTGAACCAATTGACGACACCTATTGACGACACCCGTCAATTGTTTCGAATGGAAAATTAAGGTTCTCCGCATTTCATGATCGATATCCCAGCAAATCCGTTCGGTCTCTGTTGGCGATACAAATTCATCTTACTGTGGCTTTTGCGGGAAGCTTTCGCTATCAGGCCACAAGATGTTGAAATAATATTCCACCTCCACTTAGGCTTCTCAAATGTAAGTCCACCTTCTAAAACCATATGCAACTTATTTTTGAGAGGCAAAAGCTGGACAATTTGCAGCGCTTTGTATAGTGAGGGCTTCTGAAACACCAATTTGTAAAATTTATAATAATTAATTTTTTGTCCTATTTCTTGTTTTATCCTTTTTTTATTTTTCTAGTTGGTTTTTTAAATTTCATGCTTGCCACACCCGTACGCTCCCACCGACGCTCCCACCGACACGTTAACACTGACACACAACTTTTTTTTGCTGTTGCACATTGCTTTTTGCTGTTGATGCACCACATCGCGGTACTGTTGTTGTTTATTGTGTATATTTATTTGATTTCATACCTTTTTCTTATTTTGTATGTTTTGTTTTGCGTTTTTTTTGTCTTCTTTTTTTCGTTATTTGTCGTTTCATATTATTGTGTGTGCCTCTGGAAAGTCAATAAACGTATTCTATCTATCTATCTATATTAACCAATCGGTGCGCAGATGTCACCGTAATGATATAGCACAATAGTTTTCAAATGAAATGACATTTCGTCTCTATTTCTGGTTATATACTCGATGTTTAATTAGGTAGTCAATGTGTAATTTAAACGCGGTTGTAATCAGTTGGGTTAATTTCAATGATTATAATTATAAAATATAAGTAGATATTTGAAAAATGTAGTAGTAGTAGTAGTTTGAAAATATTTACTTATTATTCGAAAATTGTTTCTTTGCTTCTTAAATAAGTAAGGTTTTTCTCAGACCTTAGTACTTTCTTCTTTACTTTGACGTCTCTTAATTGTTCAGAAATGTAACACTCAATCGATGTTTTCTTTCGTTTACAAATTATTATTATCACAGTACAAAATTTATTTAGAATTGAAAACTAAGTTCTTACAGTACTTAGAAATGTCTTCGAAATTTGGTTTGTCAGTCTATTACTATCGTGGATTAAGTGGTAATAATTATCAATTTATAATATATCCAATTTTTTGAAAGAGTCATTAAAAAACTGCCGACTAGGGCGAACTTACTACAACCAAGTTAAGGACGTCGTAAAGAAATGTCGTGTCAAGATTACCTACCCTTAACCGACGAGAGTGTATGAAAGCATTGATGCATGTAGATGAGGTGAAAGACGTTTTTCAGGATCATATCAAGTGGAAGGCTGTGGTATCTTCCTCCTTCGATGTGAAAAGGGCGTGAAAACATGTTCTCCCTTTGCCGGATCTGCGTTTTTTTTTATGATACCAAATGACGGGACGAACTAGTCGTGCGGTGGTTGGTAAGCTACGCACTTGTTCGTTGCAGTGCCACTCAGAGCTTTAAATCGCAAAGATCTAAGAGGCTGCCATTGCACTCGTCGCCCTGTGACATAAGTTGACAAGTCTCATGTGCTTGTAATTTCACCAGCACCCGTACCCTTCTAAACCGGAATGCAGTAATGCTCACATTACTGTCTGGCATCAGAAATAGCAATAGTAATGTAGCAGTACTTCCCTGGACGAACACAGGAAACTTCTACTTGCTACTAAAACTACTGCCTATTTCACATAAAGAAAACAGGATTGTAAGACCTCCATCCCTAAGGTCCATAGCTTCCTTAGTAACATCCGGTCCGTCTGTCTATCGAATTGGACATAAAAAGGTGCCCTTCAACTAATAAATTGGCCTGTGCAAGGTCGTGAAACCATAAGGGGATTCCACAATTTTTCCGACGTTATAACCTCATATGCGGAACCCCAAAAAGGGCGGCAAAATTTACGGTGCCCATAAAAGTTACGATATACGTGACAAAATTATTGTGTAAAGATATGTAGGTAATTAAAATTAATGGTATTTTATTTGTTTGTTAAATTATATCCTCAATTTTGTCGCAACCGAAAAAGGTATATGATTTTTTGAAATATAAATAACTAGGAGCCATTATAAAACAATAAAAATGTAAATAATAATGAAAACAATAACTAAACAAATGAATAAGAGCTGCTACCACGTACGAAATGTATTAACATTTAGTTCCATTTGACACCAATAGATGGCATTACTAGTACCCTGAAACGCGCTATCGTTTTGTTCACACTGATTCATGACTTCACCGTGGATGTGTATAGCAATTCGTGCCTCAATCTAATGAGTAAGGAAATTATTGGGCCTTGGTGACTCTTGGCAATGTCCCAGTAGGGGCGAACGTATTTTTTGAGGGTACAGGTCGTCCCTTTGAGTTGTGCGCCTACTTTGCACGCGACTCAGGTGAAGCGATCTGCCTCGTTAACAACAACACAACTTGAAAAGCCTTTGTTTTTTATATCAAGTAGAGATGGGTCGTCGACGCGTTTTCCGTTAACGAAACGCAACCGTCCATCGTCGACGATCAACTAGTCGGTCAACTAGTTAAATTTGTCGACTAGTCGATCATTCAACTTAAGTTGATTTTCGTTCGTAAGATGAGTTTAACTGAATCAACTAAAGTAGCTTTTGAGTATATGAACTATAGTTTTGGAAATTAATTCATTTCCAATGTTTAACATGAGCGCGGCTATCGACGCTTTTAACATACTGCAATAGAGTTTAATTCCGATAAATTCAAGGGCATTGCGTCACAACGGGCGCAACGTCTCTCTCTCGCTCTAGCGAATTAACTACACCTTCATCTTTTTGTACATTGAATGCACTATTGCAATAATAAATAGCATAACAGACCTATCTTACTTCATCGCACATATTCAAACATCAACTTACACGTACAGTTTAAAGTTCAAAATAATTTGTATATGTAATTCTATGTATAATTCGACTAAGTCCGCACGTCGTCTCGTGACGCAGAGCGTTGATTAACGCGTGGACTCTCCGTTTAACCGTCTACGAATTCTACTAGTTAACCGAAGAACGGTACAAACGTCGATTGGACGTGAACAGTTGATTCGACTAGTTCGTTCATTCAATGCCCGCCTCTAATATCAAGCGTATGCAACATAAAACAGCGAATGCAATCCGATTGTGTCTTGTGTAAATAATTATTAATATCAATGGTGATAGTATTATTTTCCCCGTGACGCGCAACGCGTAAAAAAATCAATTACGCGTGTAAATAAAGAGTTTCGACGTTGTCGCGTCAAAATTTCGCTTTCTTGGCTCTGAGTATTTTTAAATTAGGTTTAGGAAGAAATCTCGTTTCAGGACATCGTAAAATTTTGCTGCTGTGGCAGCCTAGTAGAAAACGGTTGTTTCTCAATAAAAAAACCTCTCGCTAACAATAAAAAAAAACATTGTGACAACACCTCTGCATGTGGAAGATCTCCACTAACCTTGCAAAACTTAAAATCACCAACCCGCATTAGGCGACACGCCTATGACACTTGCAGTGCCACTCAGAGATTTAAATTGCAAAGATCTGAGGGGCACTGCCATTGCACCAGTCACCCTGAGACATAAGTTGACAAGACCCATGTGCCTGTAATTTCACCAGCATACTTACCCTTCAAAACTGAAACGCAGTAATTCTCACATTACTGCTTGGCGGCAGAAATAAGTAAGGTGGTAGTACTTCCCTTGACGAATGCTTTCATAAGGAGCTCCACTTCTACTAAGATAGTACGAAACCAGAAACAATATTTCTTGAAGATTATAACTGTCAAGTAAACTAATCACTACTGATGTAAGTTTAAAAACAAAAAAGTTATTTCAAATTGTAAGACACAAGTGTTTCCCTTAAAATGTCGATAATTTTTCTCGATAGGTTTCGAGAGACTGGACTAATTGTTATTATCTCATAGATATCTCGCAGTTTATGTCGTTCCCGCGCAAGTCACGCCTTGTCATGCGAGCCTTACAGGAGTGAATTAAGTAGATCTCTGCTGACCGCATTGGAAGGCAAAAGAAGAACGTCGTAACAAAAACTGACAAGTCACAATTTGACTTGTTCTTTTTTGATGCCAAATTTATGCAACCAACCGCTAAATCCTCCTTAAAAATATGTTTCAAATGCAGAATCCAGTGAGCATAACTATCATTGCAGCAATCTGTGACAAATACATTCGATCAAACTAGATGAAATTAGAATCGAAATCATTATTTTATTTATCAGTTTTCTTTTCCAAGGCTTCAGAGATGTATGTATTCCAAATTTTAATATTATGGTAAAGCCCTACCTCAATGTGATATGTTTCATCAGGGGTATGTATAATGCCTGTGATGACACCATCTTCTAAGTGCAATTTCACATCCGAGGCAGACTCACCAAAAACTCTACCCGTGTAAAAATTGTCACGATCTGTGATAAACATATTTTTTTATTGAATTTGAAGTGTTTAAAATTTTATCACACCACATTGCTCACAAATAGTGTACAGATGTGGTGTATAAATCTTCCATAGGAGCAACAAAGTCATCGTCGGGATAGTGCAAATCCGCATATGTAGTATTAGTAAAAGACGAGTATCTGCACTAAACCACATTTTACAGAAGAGGAAGTTAATGTTATTACTTAGTATTTAATTAAGATAATATACAGTTACTTAAGTACTAGAAAGTAAAACTAGGATTTTTAAGGTATATGAATAAATTTGGGTCCCCGCGGCAAGGTGCCTAAGATGCTGGCAGCGTTCCCCCTTTGTATTGCTATGCTAATTCGTTGGGCAAGGTAGCTGCCGGCCCTTGGGTTTCCCAGACAGTCAATTACTTAGTTATTTTATAGGTTGCCTAGGAACTGATAACACTAGATTCCCGTATCACGCTAATTTGGTTGCCTCGACATTTATATATTTGATTTGGTCACTAAACTAACAAAATGGAAACTCAGAATCCAATGTGTAACACAGTAACACGTAATTCCTCTATACCCGACAATATTACACGAATAAAACTAAACTAGGTTTTGAACATTCTTAAGCAGTCTGGAAGTATACAATGTCGAAAGTAGCTTTCTAACTGAAGTTCGTATTAGGTAACGTGTGTCGTTACTGTATACAAGTACCATATTCTTACTACAATCAAGAATCTAATTAACTGACATTATTTAATTACCATTCACATTTTTCTCTTCGCCAAAAGTAGACTTACGATAGATACCTACATGGAAAGTTGCGCACATGGAAGTTTCTGACGAAACAAGTGGCTGTGGCGGATGCAAAGTTCGAATCAAAAGCCCAATTAAAACTTGAAATGCACGAGAAATCCTCCCTTGACGTGTATGACACTTGAACTTTATGAAGTTTTATCAGAATTAGGCGTTCTTCCACGTCCACCCTCCTCGTCCTCCCGCGGTGACGTCGATGGCGGAAACATGAGACTACATGAATAAATTCCTACTGTCGCGTGTCTCTGTATCGTAGCATAGGTTTGCAAGGCAGTGACGAGGCGTCCATATAACTCGATTCCCACCGGCTTGCCTAAAATTTTCCGCTTATTAGGTACGAAAAGATTATACTAGACAGCGTGCATACGCCACAACTTAAAAAACACTATTATATTCAATAATAAACGCGTAATATCTTGTCTCGATGCATCTCGACCAATTAGCGCGAGGTAAGCCGGAGGATCTGCGGGTTCTATTTCATTCATGAAATCTATGCGCTCTTCCATCAAAACTTGCGCACACATTCGTAAAAATACGCTTTATAACGTCCAAATAAATGGCGGCCAATAAGCCGGAATAAATCGGATTATATTCGGATAGCGTTCACGTAAATTTAAACCTTATTCTAACAAGTTACAGTTTAATTTGTTTCAATGTCAGAAACGTTGCCAGATGTAAAACTTTCTTAAAATAATATAACAAAATGTTATTACAATAGCAAATTAATGCAACATAATATGGTTAATTTGCATTTTGTAAATCTTGACGATAAACAGTATCTATAACTATTTGGGTGTTTCTTTTTAATAGGGCTAATATGTAGAAGGTGATGGTAATCCGTAGGTAATTAAAATAGCAACACTTAGAATTCATGAGTTTGTTTTTTTTTTAATTCGCTCTGGGCCTTTTGGAGGGAAAAGTGTCGTTTTTATTTTGACTTACAATTATTTTGTGAAATCTAGCTTAAAGTGGAATAGAATAGTGCTATTGTGCCTTAATCGAAGATAAAAACGCGAAATTTTACGAATCTCGAACTAAAATACCTGTATCGGCCCGTTCTAAGGAATCCCGAGTCAATCCAAGCACGCTGCCTCAAATTGCCTATCCTCTTTGTGGTGGCCATATTTACAGATACTTATATAATTAAACGTTTATGTTTTCGGCTGAAGGACTTTATTTCCATGGCCAGCAATAAATTTAAAAAAAAGTAATCGCCAAATGTAGTAAATTACTTTAAAAACTATCGTTATTTTATGTGTAGAATAAGTTAACCTGCGAAATGAAGGAAACTAGTATCTTGTGTGCTAATGAGTGTTGTGGTTAAACGTCGCCAAGGCGTCTTTTTAACGGGAAAAGAATTTTTGTAAAAGTAAGTGTTTTTTGTTTCTTCAAAAAGTTAAAGCTTCAGCTTCTACCAAGGAAAATTTTCACGCCTTACCACTGTTGCAAGGTGTCGTTTATACCATCATAAACGGCAGTTGCGTTGTCGAGCAAAACTATTACAATGAGAGATAAAACATGGAGCAAAGAATGTTCATTCTGTGAAAGGTTAGCTAGTATGAGCCGTTAAGTATCCTTTTCTAAACTCAATCTAGACACTTGAATTGCTGTAAACAGTTATGCTTAGGCATTTGTAAATGACGACCTAGTAGTAGCAGAGCTTTGTTTAAGAGTTCGTCCAGGGAAATACTGCCACCTTGACCATTTTTGCCGCCAAGCAGTAATGTGAGAATTACTGTGTTCCGGTTGTGAAGGGGAAGGACACATGGAACTTGTCAACTTATGTCTCAGGGTGACCGGGTGACCGGCGCATTGGCAGTATCCTTCAAATCTTTGCGATTTAAAGCTCTTGAGTGGCACTGCTATCAGTGGCGGACTTGCAGATTTGGCCGCCCTAGGCCCCAGGCCACGTAGTCAGTACCAGCCGCCCCTTTCTCTGCACTCATCATAATATACTGGTAGACTACTGAATTTCCCTTATTGCTAATTTTTATCGAAATTGATTCAAAAATTTACTATTTTTGTAGAACATTGATTTGATATATCTCTGTCAGTTTACGGGTCGCACGCCAGTAAAACGCCTAGCCAGTATGATTTTTTTCCGACATCTTCAACATTTTATCGTCATATTTCAGCTAACTTACACAAAACCTACAAACATTATACACTTAGACCTTCGTCATCAATGACTCT